AAAAAAAATCCTATTTCTTCAACGTGCCAAATTGATTTTTAGTTCTTCATACATTATTCATACACCACGATATGCAGGGACATTGTCAACAAATATCCATCAAGCTTAATTCAACACACATTACATGGGAGTTACAAGGACTGTACAGCAAACTAAAACGTCCTTTTTGCTCTAAAGAGAGGAGAAAATTGGAATACCGGGTAAAGTAGCCCCTGCCTCCACAATGAACACATTGCCCGATACATATTCAGACGAGTCGTGGATCAAATATCGTGCTAATGATGTTAGTGCAGGGTCAGACTCGCCGAAAGTTCTTAAAGGGACAACTTTTATAGCGACTTTCTTGAGCCAATCCTTTTCCATCAGACCTCGTGTTATCTCGGACTTGAATAGTCCGGGAGATATAGAGTTGACTCGTATTTTGTATATACCAAGCTCCATGGCCATGATCTGCTTGAAACAATGTATAGTCAAACAGTGCCATGTAATAAAAAAGATGTGTAATTTTGTACTATACTCAAAACTATTAATTTATTGTTGAATTTAGAGTTGCATAACAATTGATTCAATGTAGTTTACTTTGTGTTACTTAACAATAAGCATAATTTTAACATTATAGGAACTTAAGTTTCATTACAGTCTATTAGCAAAACAATCACGTTCCTCTTTTCCCTTTCCTACGAAACCTTTGCAGGCTTAGAGTCTCATAGAGTTGACAGGCAAAAATGTATTTTTTGTTCTATTGGTTTAACTTCACAGGATTTAATGCATCTTTAGTCCTATTGGTTTAATTCCATAGCTATTTTAGTCCCAATGTTCTAACTTTTCGCCTTTTGTTTATGTGATTTGATATTTTGCTGCAATTTCAGTTTGAGAACTAAAATTGCAACAAAATTTTGACTTAAATTGCTAATAAAAAAATATGTAAATTTGAGAATTTGTTTCAATTTTAGTCCTTAAAAGACTTAAATTGCAACAAAATATTAAATCACAGGACCAAAAGGCAAAATTTTAGATTAATGGGACTAAAGTTGCTACATAGTTGAATCAGCACGACTATAAATACAATTTAGCCAGAGTTGACGCATAGATTAGTACACATTGAAGATTTGTAGGACCTGGATTTTCTTAGAAATCCTTGAGTGTATCTTTCGAAATTACAAAAACCCGCTACATATTTATTACTGTTCCACAAAACATCTATAATGCAAAACACCCGTATTTCCTCATTTTGCTCAATCAAACAATCATATCAAGAGATTCTACAAAAGCTGCAAATTGGACGCCACAAAGCAAAACGCACAAACTAACTCGCATACAGTGGCATGCCCGGCAAATGCATTTGATTTAAAAGATATTACCTTTGTCATTGTGTTAACGGCAGCTTTTGAGGCGGCATAAACAAAGCTTCCTGGTAAATTCCCTCGATTAAGACCCGCGATGGAAGATATATTTATGACTGACCCGTGCAGTTGAGCATCACGCATGCGAGTACAAACGAACTTCGAGACCAACCAAACACCCCTCATATTAGTCCTCACTATATTGTCCCATTCATCTTCAGACAAATCCAATGGGGTATGGACGCTACCTTTAAGTAAAAAGTTTACGATTAGATAGGCCGATGAGTAACACTGCACACTCTCATTGTAATAAGTTCACAGCTCAAAACAACATACACATATCAAAATATCATCCTCACATTGCCTGGAACAAAATTTACCAGAACAAGATTCATGCTTTTTTTGAAAATTAAAATCAGAACAATAAGCTACGGCTTAAGAACGAACAGGTTAAGCATAATCAGACCAACGAGCCGGGTTTAGATCATTCGTAGACACACCAATTATTGAATAAAACCCCTTATTATCCACAAATTGTGGCTTTATCTAACCATATTTGCCAATAGTTTTCTTAGCATTTAATAATGGCAAAACCCTGCTACTAACATCTACAAATTAGTAGGCCTCACAAATCAATGATTGACAGACTAAACGGGCTAATTAATGTTAATGTATAAGCGATGAATGGCTCCATAAGAAAACCATCCGATTGGTCCATAGAATTTTTGGGTAATCCACACGGAATTAAAGATTAAAGATCAAATTTTTTTCAATTTTAAGCGCAGCCCAGAAAAAAACCTTCGACAATTAGCTGAATATATTTTTCAATTTCTTCGAAAAAAAAATTCACATCTGGGGTTTACCTCTAAGGCCGGCATTGTTAATCAAAGCGTCGATTTTTCCGAAGGCATCCCAGGCCTTGTGCACAGAGGCCTCGATGGCGGGCCCGCTCGCGGAGACGTCGAGCTCGACGGAGACGGCTCTGGGTTGGGCTCGTCTCGGATCGACGGAGCCGGCGTTGATCTCGTCGCAGAGTGACTGTAAGCGGTCGATACGCCGGGCGGCGGCCACGATTCGGCAGCCGGCCTTGGCCAGGTCCAAGCAGAAGCCGCGGCCAAGCCCGGACGACGCGCCGGTTACCATAACGACTTTGTCGTTGAGCTCGAGCCACGGCTCCAAGCTGCTAGCCACGCCGGTTTTTGTCTCCGGCGGCATCTCGACTTTTATCTTCTGTTTGTGTTGACGCGAGAGAGAGAGAGCGATTGGTGCAAGCATTTAAATATATATTTTATTTTATTATATAAGAATTGTATTTATTTATTTTTTCGAATAAATAAATAAAATAAAATGGCTGTTTGTTTGGTTGTTTTCACAACAGTGGTACCAAATGCCAACTGCACTTTTTTAAAAAAGAAAATAATAATAATAATAATAATAATAATAATAATAATAATACTATTATTATTATTATTATTATTATTATTATTATTATTATTATTATTATTATTATAATAGTTGTTGTTCTTATTATTGTTGGACCTCATGTATTATTATTGAGTTTATTGATGCTGGATTTTACCCGTTGGGCCTTATTATCAACTCAGCCCAAACATAAAGGAAAACTACAATTCAGCAGGCGAGTTTTAGGCATGTTTGGTAAAATTAGCTGATAAACTAGCTGATAAGCTAGCTTATAGCTTTATCAGTAATTTTTTAGCTTATAGCTTATAGTTTATGACTTATAGTTGAAAAGCTAGCTTATATGATAAAAATGTTTGATAAATTAGCTGATAAGCTAGCTGGAATAAAAAATTCAACTAGCTTTTTTGAAAAACTACCTAAAGAAGCTTATCAAATAAGCTCGAGTTTTTTAAAAAGTTCGCCATACCAAACGAGGCTTATTTAAATACAAGAAGTTTATAAGCTAATCAAATAAGCTATAAATTATCTTATTGGTCTACCAAACATAGCTTTAGGCCACGGCTCACTTGCTACATTTATCATCCACGTCATTCATTATTAACTGTATAAATGTCCACCATTATTCTATATCTTCATTCATGGTTGTTAATTTTCCTCATTTTATAATGTGTGTGTATATATATATATATATATATGTAATATGCCTACAAATATACAAAGCTGTTTTGACGAGGGTTGGACGAATTTCAATTGTCAACTGTTACTTTTAATCATTTATTACACGCTGCAAAACAATAATAATATTGCGTTTCTAAGCTAAACTATAACTTGCTTAAGTTTGAAGTGAATATTGATTGAGTAGACAAAATCTTGACTTTACTTTTGTGTTGGGTCGTTGACCCATGCAGTGCAAATAAATATGATTATCTACACTATTTAATTACCTACTAGGGCTTTAATTGCCAAATTGAAATGTTAAAAACCTCTCGTGAACTGTCACCAAAATGGCTTTTCACACAGTAGAAGCTGGAAGTCGTCAAGGAAAAAATGGTGCTCTTAGAAAGCCCAACTTCACAGGTATTTTCTCCATCAAGTAAGCGCCTGAATGATGGCTCACAGAAAGGGTGGAAAAGGAAGACGGGCACGCCAAATTCAATCCGAGTAGGTAAGGTAAAAGAAGGGGAGTCAACTTCTCATCTAGAAACAACAGGGATTGATATCAGCACTTTGACAGGAACTAATCAAAAAAGGAAGTCAGGACTAGTGGCATTACAGGGCATTGAACATAGTAAAAGGCAAAAACAGGACGATGATATGGTGTTGCAGGAAACTGACTCTCTTGCGCTAGAAATGGCGGACTCTGCCCAGCAGAGCCGCCGAACACAATGAGTTGCCTTTGCTGGAACGTGCAAGGTTTGGGGAATCCTTGCACGGTTAAATCTTTACAGGCTCTGGTCGGTAAAGTCTCCCTGATCTAGTCTTTTTGTCTGAGACTAGATTATTTGGTGCTAAGGCAGCTAATATTCGGTATCTATTAAATTTTGGAGGCAACTTAGTGGTGGATTGCCAAGGCAAAAGTGGGGGGTTAATGCTCTTGTGGTCCGATAATTGGGAGGTTGAAATCATATCTTATTTGGCGGGTCACATTTTGGAGGTGGCCGCATGGGTCACCTCGTCGCGACATGTTACGAGATCATTGGGTGTCCAGAAGGGTATAATTCTGGAGGTGGCCGCAGTCGTATTGGAGGTCGGCGTGATGGCACACGCGGCAAAAGGGGAGCTCGTGCAAATACTGCAGTTTCTGGTGTTACTGGTGAGCCGTTCATTGCTGGTAGTATCAGTTCTTCTCCTAGAACTGCTCCTCTCACTGATTCTGACCGTCTTGCACTTAGTGGTTTAACCAATGATCAATGGGCTCACATTGTGACTTTGGTAAACTCAGCTAAACAAGAAAATCATTTGTCTGGTAAGCGTTGTATATTTGATTGGATGTACGACTCTGGGGCTACTCATCATATGACAGGATTCTTGGATTTTATTTCTGATATTCGAGATATTCCCGCTCGGCCCCTTCAATTGCCTAACGGTTCTTTGACTATGGCTAGCCAAGCTGGGACTGTTTATTTGAGTTCTCATATTATCCTTTATGATGTTTTATATGTTCCTAGCCTTCGTTGTAGCTTGATTTCTTTATCTCAATTGTTGGATCGCTCTAACTGCACAACCCAGTTTACTGATAAATTGTGTGTTATTCAGGACCGTATTTCGAGGATGGTGATTGGCGCGGGTGAGCAGTTGGGGGGGTCTCTACTTCTTTCGAGGGACAGTTTCTGCAGCGGTCTCTCAGGTTCAGAAATTTTCTGTTGATGTGTGGCACCAGCGTCTGGGTCATCCGTCTGCCCAAGTATTATCGCAGCTTCCTGTTATTGGCTCTAGTCGTCATAGTTTGAATAAATCTTGTGATGTTTGATTTCGTGCTAAACAACACCGTCGTAGCTTTTCTTCCAGTCAAACTGTTAGTAATGAGATTTTTCATTTGATACACTGTGATTTGTGGGGTCCGTATCGTGTTCCGGCCTTTTGTGGTGCACGATATTTTTTAACTATTGTGGATGATTGTTCTCGTGGGACATGGCTTTATTTATTAAATGATAAGACGAAGGTTTCTTCTATTTTGATTAATTTTTTTGCCATGATTAAGTGACAATTTGGGAAACTTGTGCATGTTGTTCGTAGTGATAATGGGACTGAATTTTTTAGGTTGGCCTCTTATTTTCGTCGTGAAGGGATTTTGCATGAGACCTCTTGTGTTGGCACTCCTCAGCAAAATGGGCGTGTGGAACGCAAACATCAACACATTCTAAATGTTGCTCGTGCATTGCGGTTCCAGGCTCATATGCCACTTTCTTTTTAGGGTCATTGCGTTTTGACTGCGGGTTATTTAATCAATCGTACCCCTTCATCGGTTTTGCATGGTAAGACTCCATATGAGATTCTCTACGGCGTTGCTCCTCCCTTGTCTCATTTGCGTGTTTTTGGTTGCCTTTTTTATGCTCATAACCAAGACCGCAATGGTGACAAGTTTACTTCTCGAAGTAGTCGTTGTGTGTTTGTGGGATACCCGTTTGGCAAGAAGGGGTAGAGTCTGTATGATTTGGATCGTCAGATTTTCTTTGGCTCCCGTGATGTGGAGTTTCTAGAGACTGAGTTTCCTTATTTGGCTGCCTCCTCTGGGTCCGACTCTCTACCCATGTCTTCTGTGTTGCCGATTTCTTCTGAGCCGGATGATGAGGAGCCTCTCGTGATTACCGTGCCGCCTGTGTCTTCTGACACTGGGGATGTTCCTCTTGATATGGGATCCGATGACATGGGGGTTCTCCTACTCCTCCAGCGGCGCCTTTGGTGGTGCCTTCTCTTCCAGCGGAGTCTTTAGGTCGCGGTCATCGGACTAAGATTCCTTCTACTCGACTGAAGGACTTTGTGGTTGATACTATCTGTCCCTCGACTGCTCCCCCTGCTGCTTCTTCCGCATCGTCTCCATCCTCAGGTACGCCTTATCCCATAGCACATTACGTTTCTTGTGAGTCTTTCTCTCCAGCTTATCGAACATTTTTAGCGCCTGTCACCTCTGCTGTTGAGCCTCGTAGTTTTGCGGATGCCATGACCGACCCTCGATGGCGAGCTGCTATGCAGGATGAGATTCGTGCCTTGGAAAATAATGGGACTTGGGATGTGGTCTCTCTACCCCTTTGGGAAACGTGCTATAAGGTGCAAATGGGTCTTTAAGATCAAACACAAGGCTGACGGTACTGGTGAGCGATATAAAGTGCGCTTGGTAATTTTGGGGAACAATCAGGTGGAAGGTCTTGATTATCATGAGACTTTTGCTCCGATCGCCAAAATGGTTACAATCCGACTTTTCTTGGCTGTAGCTGCAGCAAAACATTGGGAAGTTCACCAGATGGACGTTCATAATGTCTTTCTGCATGGTGATCTGGATGAGGAGGTGTATATGAAGTTCCCGCCTAGATTTCGTACTGGTGTTGATGGACAAGTTTGTCGTCTCCGTCGTTCTCTATATGGCTTGAAGCAGGCTCCTCGCTGCTGGTTCGCCAAGTTGGCGACGGCTCTGAAACATTATGGTTTCCGTCAATCCTATCATGCATGATTATTCTCTTTTTACCCTGCATCGTGGTTTTGTTCATCTGCAGGTATTGGTGTATGTTGATGATTTGATTATTTCTGGCAATGATACCTCCTCCATTGCAGCATTTAAGAGTTATTTAAAATCGGTGTTTCCATATGAAGGATCTTGGGCTGCTTAAGTATTTTCTGGGTATCGAGGTTGCCAGGAATGCTTCGGGCTTCTTTCTCTGTCAACGGAAGTATGCTCTTGATATGATTGCTGAAGCCGGACTATTAGGGAGCAAGCCAGCTGATTTCCCGTTGGAGCAAAATCATCAGCTTCCTCTCGCTGAGAATGCTCTCTTGTCCGATCCCGAGCACTATTGGCGTTTGGTAGGGCGACTTATTTATCTCGCAGTTACTCGTCCTGAGTTGTCCTATTCTGTGCATATGCTTGCTCAGTTCATGCACCAACCACAACAGTCTCACTGGGACGCTGCCCTGCGTGTGGTTCGGTATTTGAAGGGCTCTCCTGGTCAGGGGATCCTTCTTCGTTCTGACTGTGATCTCCAACTCTATGCGTGGTGTGATTCAGATTGGGCGACTTGTCCTCTCACTAGACGATCCCTTTTGGGTTGGTTCGTTCAGCTGGGTCAGTATCCTGTTTC